AATGCTTTTCATTCTTCAGGTTTCGACGTGTCTTTGATGCATAAAATGATCCAGAAAACTTCAGAAAAATACAAATGACAGATGTGACAAGAAACAAAAATAACATGTGCTTGAACAATGTGGAATTCTATAAGCTCATTTTTTGCCACATCATGTGTGCCAAGTTCTGCAGAAGCTGGCATGGTAAATGTGGCTAGTGAAAGAAGCAAGGATCTCTCCAACTTCATATTTTCCATCCTCTCAGTTGAACTCCCTGTGTAGGCACCTGCCTAATGTGGCATGCATGCTCCCCTGGAAAAATTTTAGACTTGACCTTCTGAAATGCTACTTGCTGGATTTTGAGAGGGGAATTTCAAGCGTGGAGGTTCTGAGAACAACCTGAAATTTTTGACCACCTCAAACAGCAACATTCAAGGATGGAAGGACTGATGTGGGAGAGAGCCCTGATAGAAAGTACAAGAGATGAATACATGTCATAACATCATAACACTAGAGTTCCGGCCATTCAGAGGCACCAATTGTTAACACCATCATGTTAGGCCACACCAATTTAATTTGTTGGTTCTCGGATTTTTTCAGAAAAAATATGAAGCGACAGGGCGAAAAAAATAAAAATAAAAACAGGTCTAGGCATCCTATTATAGCCCCAAATGCTACAATATGAGCCATGAAGTCAACAAAACAGGCTGGATTAAAATTTGAAGTATAAATTTTGAACTTTTAATCAAACCACTGCATTGATAGATGGAAAAAAACTGTAACAACTAGGAAGAAAAGGAATTTCCTCAACTGTTGGGGGCAAAATATGAGCATTTTTTAGTTGATTCAGAACCAGAATCTTTTTTTTTTTTTTTTTGCAAATCAGAAAAAAATGAAGAGGCGAATCCGAGAACCAACAAATTAAATTGGTGTGGCCTTAGATATAGCTGCAACATAATCTGCGACACTAGAATCAGTTTTTTTCTTTAAACCAAATTGTTCTGTGTGTGCAAAGGACCACTTTGAGATGCTGGAGACCACCTCGACCAGGGCTTCTGGGAAACGTTCCCTAACATCCCTCTACACAGACGTCCTGCCTACTAAACGTTCTAGCAATCCCAAAGCAGCTGCCACAAATTTGCCTTTTGTCTAATGAGCTGTACCATGTACCACCCCATACCTTGCTAGTGGAGGCTTTATAAGTGGTTTTCAGTTTCTGTGAGAGTTGACTGGATGCTGGAAAAAACAAAATAAAGTAATGTCAGCAATAAATCAAACAGTCTAACAGTTCATCATTCCACATTCAAGCTAGATATAGGCAATATAATGTTATAATGTAAAGGAAAGCATAGTTTATTTGTTCTTTACAAATACAGGTCTTGAAATACTAAGTGAATGTGCAGGTTAGTGCAGGTTAAGTTGGAGCTTTTTCTGATGTCTATCCGGACTTAATCTGCACTGGTCCATGTGCTGGCTTTATGTATACATCTAGGTACTTTTATTTGCTGCATTGTCTGTTACCAACTATGACATTTAAAAGAAACAATGGCGATGGTTTTTGAACAGTTTTCAGTATGATCCAGACTTCTCAAATTCTGAGTGGTGCAGGTAAATATGTCTGGTGAAGGTATTTTTCAATGTTACTGTGTTTCATCACTACAAATGCCACATCCCTTATTGAACATACACTTACACTTGTTCTTAGCGATATTGGCCTTGGCGGTTCCATCCAGTGACTCCTCCCCCATGGGTTTATCACTGGTGCCAGCCTCAAGTCAACATTATCAGGACCTCCACCTTCTCCTGAACTGCAGTGAGATACCCAATCACATGTCAACATCATCAGGACCTCTACCTTCTCCTGAACTGCAGTGAGATACCCAATCACATGTCAACATTATCAGGACCTCTACCTTCTCCTGAACTGTAGTGAGATACCCAATCACATGTCAACATTATCAGGACCTCTACCTTCTCCTGAACTGCAGTGAGATACCCAATCACATGTCAACATCATCAGGACCTCTACCTTCTCCTGAACTGTGTCGAGAGACCTGATCACATGTCAACATTAAAGCAAAGTAAGAGAAGCACTGGTTGTGTATAAAAAAAATCCCAATATCCTACATGTATGTTCCACCAACCCAATGAAAATACAAAAATGTTGATTTTATGTGTAGTAGTGTTTGGTGCTTACGTGCGAGGTTCTCGGCATATACCACTTCCACCTCCCGCTCGATTTGCTGAAACAGGTCCCAGAGTCGCGCTCGAAGGTGTGGCGGCAACACGCTCTCCTGAACTTCCACGGTAAAGCTACGGGAGACGCAAGGCATTTCTTGACATTGCATCACTCCAAATTATGTCATCAATTCTTCATATACATTTATAACATGACAATTGATAGTACAGTACTGTATCATAATCATGTCATCCATAAACACAAAGCTGCATAGGGGACGAATTACGTCAAATTTTTGCTGCCCATTACGGATTACATGAAATTGTCAGTAAATCATGAGGCTTGAATCACATTGATTTTGGTTGGCTTCTTACAAATTAGGAAAGCCTGATTACACCTTACGAAACAGGGCATGCAGGACTCCATGAACTGTAATCAAATCAATGTCGCAAGTCGCAATGTATTCAGGCTACCTCACGAGCTACCTGACGAAGGTGGTTTGGGATTGAGCTGGTTTCAATGCGACTTGAAGCTTTCAGGTCATGGAGTTCTATATTCAGATGGAACTGTATTAATCCTGCTTAGGTGGATTCGGGCTTGAATCAAATTCTGCAAGCTTAGTGTGAAGATGGACTTAGTGAGGCGTTTACCTTCCATGACGGGGGTTCTCGCGGTCAGCTTCTGTGGAACTGTGTGTTCGGCGCAGCGAAAGGCTCTTCCCGCGCTTGGGCTTCGGGCGGGAAAACCCTTGGGCAGCAGCTTCCGTTGGCATGGTAACAGGCCACCTCTCCACCTCTGAGATACCTGAAGCAACGTTTGGATACAAGGAATTCTAACACAGTGTAATTAACTTAATTAATTTAACTTAATTACGAGCTGATGATAACACAGCAGCTCCAATTACTAATAATATAGTCTGTGGCTTTCCAAATTTGTTGTAATTATTGATGTTGTTTTATGTCTATGTCTTTTCTTTTGCATATTTTACAAATATTGGTAATAATTTTGTGATCCTCAACTACAATGTAACCAAGGCCTCTTGGAAAATTCTTATCTTGGAAAATTCATAAAATATTTTCGTATTCACCTTAGCCAGCAAGCTAGAAATATGCCATATAACGTTGTACACTTGGTAACTGCAATCATTAAGAAGTAGAAATAGATGCACTTTAATATTGATTAAAACGCTTTTAAAGCCATACTCTCGTGTTGTAATTATCCACCGTGATCTTTCCAAGAGCCTGTTGTTATTTGAATGTCGGTATCGAAATCACAAAAATAAATCAACATAAATATCGTTATCGTAAACAAAATGACGGACTGTACTGTAATAAACCTCCTCTTATAGCATCTGTGAACATTGAACTAACCTCGAAAAGGAATATAGAGACTGCAAACCTCACCTTGACTGAGATTTTTGATCGGAATCTTACAGCAAATTTCGCCCAGACGATGGAGGCGCCGCCATCTTGGAAATTGTTTATGCATGCAATAATTGAAAGCCTCGGTAGGTGTCAGAGTTGCACGAGTGGTGTAATGCATTGTCAAGCAGATACTGGGTGGAAAATTGTGCCGTTTTGTGACCGGTTGGCATTACTGGCAGTCCCCCAATCCAATTAACGGCTTTCCCAATGAATAAGATTTCTTTAAATCACTAAGGCTCAATAAAAAACGAAGCAGTTTTTTTTTTTCGTACAAATGTTTGAGAACCAAAGAAACAAGAATTTGGAAACCTGAGAACTCCATGAGGTTACATGTATTTCAATGTTGTGAGATGGTGACTGTGTCCTCCTCTCATTGAACATGGTGTCTCCAAGTCTTTCTTCCTTGTGCAAGGGAAATGACACTAGCTGTCAAGGAGGTCATGTGATGAAAAACACTTGTGAAAACAGTGAGATGTAACAAAAAGGAAGGACAAAAATGTTACCTTCTTTCCTGGCAAGTAGATTGACTGATTAAAAAACATATTTTTTCGACATAAATATTGCTGGAACAGACTGCACCAAACCAGATCCATTACAACCTGGCCTAAGGACCATGTAGAAACACAGACACACAAACACACAGACATGCTAAGATCAATAGCTCAATTTTTCATTGAGGTCACAAAATTTTTGTTGCCTTACATAGGTGTATGTGTCATACAGTAAAGACAACACAAGTGGCCAGTTTATAAGAAAATAGATTTTATTGCATGGAGAGTGTATATAAAGACAGAACCACGGTGCACAATACCAATGGACCACCTAAGTACAAGCCCTATCAGAACAAATTTGTCTGTGTCTTTCACAAGAAAAATGCCTCCAGGTTTGCATCAGCAGAGCTTGTTTTTCCTGAAATTGGTTGATTTTTTTTCTAGAAACCGTGGACCGTAGATTTGCAAGCATCAGGGCTTGGTAATTTGCTCCATTGTGGCTAACTTCTATGTCGTTGACAACAATTGAGCCAATCCAATGTATATGCAACAAGATGAAGCAAATCCTACATGCTGGCAAAAATCAACATGTTTATCCTGAAACCTTAAGATTGAAAAAAATGTGTCAACTTTGGGGCGTTTTGTGAAAACTGGAAGAGTTCCTCCTTTCCAATTTTGCACTTTGAACCATTCAACCTTCAAAGAGACAATTTTTTTAACAAAACAGTTGTAAGGCTGTTTCCCCGCAAGAAAAAAAACAAACACTTGAAGCCTCAAAGTAGTAGATATGTTATTTTTTCCAAAATAAATCTAGCTCAGCAAGTTTTTTTTTAGAAAGAAGGGGCTGGAATGTTTCATAAAACCTTTTGATACACCTACATGTACCCGGAGCAATGTGTACAGCCATTTAACACACTTTACCTGCCACTATGCTCTGTCTTCTCTAGTACCAGACTAAGACCCTTACCTCATCCTGTATAGCTTTTGACTTTACATTTTGGAAAGCAAATCCTAGGATGCCAGCAAAATACACATCAACATCTATCTTACTGTTCCAGTATTGCTCATTCTCTTGTAGCAATGCTATCACTTGCAATGAGGATGTTATATGTGCTTTAATTTAAAGGCAGCCAAAGCAATTTCTGGGAGTAGAACTGAATTTTCAAAGTAGTAAATTTTGGATGTAATAAGTTGAATCAACACTATCTCATACCATGTCGTTGTCTTGTATTGTATCATACCCTTGATCAAACTATTTATTGGTGGTGTCAAATAAATAAAGGGACTTCTCATGTAGCTTGTTTTGGGGCTATTTCAAACACATCAAGTATGAAATAATGATAAAAATGTGCAATAACATCAGACAGATTTCACCATCCAGAGTATTTTTGTTTTGCCACCCTGAAATTGAGTTGGATGCCTTTAAGATCATGTGATGCCAAAGGTAACCAAAAAAAATCCTACATGTTTATGCTGCCTGGTTCCCTGCTAGTTTTGACTTGAATATTTTTCCATATAAAGGGCTGTTCACATAACGTTATTCAAAGAATCCTGCTATTACAACGAATAAAACAAGAAAGTGAATCTACAGCAAAAACAACATAATAATAACAGCGACTCGTGACCAAACGAAAATGTGCACATGACTTCGGTTATCACA